CTCCCTGCTCTCCCCCTTCCCCTCCCCTCTCGTCCCTCACCGCCCTCCCCCACACCACATCAGCCCGGGGGCGGTGGTGCAGCGCTTTGAGGCGAGGCAGCACGCGGTGGACGCGGAGGGAGTGGCCATCTACCTGCGCGCGCTCGTCACCACCGACCGCCTCTCCTCCTTCCTCCCCTCCTCCAACAACGCCCGCCCCACCTCCCTCCCCTTGCTCGTATGCCCACCTCCCCTTGCTCGTATGCTGCTGGTCATTGCCGGTACGTCCTCCTTCATGCTCATGCATACATCACCTGCTATTGTCGCCTTCCCATCGCACCCTCTCCTGTCTCTCCACCCTGTGCTGACGTCATCAGCTGGAGGATCTGAAGCAGCGCGCCACGTCAGAAGAGGGCCAGCTGGGGCTGCCGCCCGGCACCACGGAGCAGACGCCCCTGCACGTGGTGATGGTGCGTGCACGTGGTGATGGTGCGTGCACGTGGTGATGGTGCGTGCACGTGGTGATGGTGGTATGTGGTGATGGTGGTATGTGGGGCGTCATGGCTTCTTATGTCAGCATATGTGTGTGTGTGCATGCTTGTGTGTGGGTGTGTCCGTGCGTGCATGTGTGCGTGAGTGCATGTGTGTGTGAGTGCATGTGTGCGTGAGTGCAAGTGTGCGTGCGTGCATGTGTGCGTGCGTGCATGTGTGCGTGAGTGCATGTGTGCGTGCGTGCATGTATGCGTGAGTGAATGCGTGCATGCGTGCATGTGTGCGTGGGTGCATGTGTGTGTGGGTGTGCATGTGTGTGGGGGATGAATGCGCCACATGTCATGCATCACATATGCTCATCGATCGTCACTGCGCATTGCATTTTTTTATTCCATGCTATTTCATTCCCTTGCATGCGCACCTCTTTTCACCTCTCTTTCTCTCCCGCTGTGTTGTGGCAATCACGGCCCGACCCCCCGTGCGTGTCATCCCCATGTCACCTCTGCCACGCCCCACAGGTGGAGAGGGAGGTGAAGCCGCTGTCACGTGGGCTGCGTGTGCTGCAGGAGCTGCTCTCAGCGCTGCTCGCCTGCTTCTTCGGCCTCCTCCTCTGGTCCGCCACCGTCCCCTTTCCTCTCGCCCTCGTCTGCCCTCTCGCCCACCGGTTTGCCTGTTCTTTTTGCAGCAAGCTAAGCTTTCTTGCCGCGCTGCATGCTCACATGCGTGCATGCTTGCGCTCGTGTGTGCATGCATGTGCGTGCATGCTTGCACTCATGTGTGTGTGGGGTGCCTGTGTGCCCGGTGCACCTTGGCAGGGCGGCAGCAACGACGGCGTTGAGGCGCTACGCCAGTGGCGTCACCGGCATGGGAGGGGGGGGGATGGCGGGGGGGCCAGCAGCGGGCATGGGGGCGGGCGGGGCGGGCGTGTACTCGCCCAAGGAGTATAACAAGGAGACCATGCCCGAGAAGGTGAGCGGCTGATGGCATGCCCGAGAAGGTGACATGAGAACATGCCCAAGAAGGTGAGATGAGAACATGCCCGAGAAGGTGAGAGGAGGACATGCCTGAGAAGGTGAGAGGAGAACATGCCCGAGAAGGTGAGATGAGAACATGCCCGAGAAGGTGAGATGAGAACATGCCCGAGAAGGTGAGATGAGAACATGCCTGAGAAGGAGATGAGAACATGCCCGAGAAGGTGAGATGAGAACATGCCCGAGAAGGTGGGATGAGAACATGCCCGAGAAGGTGAGATGAGAACATGCCCGAGAAGGTGAGATGAGAACATGCCCGAGAAGGTGAGATGAGAACATGCCCGAGAAGGTGAGATGAGACCATGCCCGAGAAGGTGAGATGAGAACATGCCCAAGAAAGTGAGATGAGAACATGCCCGAGAAGGTGAGATGAGAACATGCCCGAGAAGGTGAGATGAGAACATGCCCGAGAAGGTGAGATGAGAACATGCCCGAGAAGGTGAGATGAGAGCATGCCCGAGAAGGTGAGATGAGAACATGCCCGAGAAGGTGAGATGAGAACATGCCCGAGAAGGTGAGAGGAGAACATGCCCGAGAAGGTGAGATGAGAACATGCCCGAGAAAGTGAGATGAGAACATGCCCGAGAAGGTGAGATGAGAACATGCCCGAGAAGGTGAGATGAGAACATGCCCGAGAAGGTGAGATGAGAGCATGCCGGAGAATGTGAGATGAGAACATGCCCGAGAAGGTGAGATGAGAGCATGCCCGAGAAGGTGAGATGAGAACATGCCCGAGAAGGTGAGATGAGAACATGCCCGAGAAGGTGAGATGAGAACATGCCCGAGAAGGTGAGATGAGAACATGCCCGAGAAAGTGAGATGAGAACATGCCCGAGAAGGTGAGATGAGAACATGCCCGAGAAGGTGAGATGAGAACATGCCCGAGAAGGTGAGATGAGAACATGCCCGAGAAGGTGAGATGAGAACATGCCCGAGATGGTGAGATGAGAACATGCCCAAGAAGGTGAGATGAGAACATGCCCGAGAAGGTGAGATGAGAACATGCCCGAGAAGGTGAGATGAGAACATGCCCAAGAAGGTGAGATGAGTACATGCCCGAGAAGGTGAGATGGGAACATGCCCGAGAAGGTGAGATGAGAACATGCCCGAGAAGGTGAGATGAGAACATGCCAGAGAAGGTGAGATGAGAACATGCCCGAGAAGGTGAGACGAGAACATGCCCGAGAAGGTGAGCGGCTGATGGCATGCCCGAGAAGGTAAGCGGCTGATGGCATTCCCGAGATGGTGAGCGGCTGATGGCATGCCCGAGAAGGTGAGATGAGAACATGCCCAAGAAGGTGAGATGAGAATATGCTCGAGAAGGCGAGATGAGAACATGCCCAAGAAGGTGAGATGAGAACATGCCCGAGAAGGTGAGATGAGAACATGCCCGAGAAGGTGAGATGAGAGCATGCCCGAGAAGGTGAGATGAGAACATGCCCGAGAAGGTGAGATGAGAACATGCCCGAGAAGGTGAGATGAGAACATGCCCGAGAAGGTGAGATGAGAACATGCCCGAGAAAGTGAGATGAGAACATGCCCGAGAAGGTGAGATGAGAACATGCCCGAGAAGGTGAGATGAGAACATGCCCGAGAAGGTGAGATGAGAGCATGCCGGAGAAGGTGAGATGAGAACATGCCCGAGAAGGTGAGATGAGAGCATGCCCGAGAAGGTGAGATGAGAACATGCCCGAGAAGGTGAGATGAGAACATGCCCGAGAAGGTGAGATGAGAACATGCCCGAGAAGGTGAGATGAGAACATGCCCGAGAAAGTGAGATGAGAACATGCCCGAGAAGGTGAGATGAGAACATGCCCGAGAAGGTGAGATGAGAACATGCCCGAGAAGGTGAGATGAGAACATGCCCGAGATGGTGAGATGAGAACATGCCCAAGAAGGTGAGATGAGAACATGCCCGAGAAGGTGAGATGAGAACATGCCCGAGAAGGTGAGATGAGAGCATGCCCGAGAAGGTGAGATGAGAACATGCCCGAGAAGGTGAGATGAGAACATGCCCGAGAAGGTGAGATGAGAACATGCCCGAGAAGGTGAGATGAGAACATGCCCGAGAAAGTGAGATGAGAACATGCCCGAGAAGGTGAGATGAGAACATGCCCGAGAAGGTGAGAGGAGAACATGCCCGAGAAGGTGAGATGAGAGCATGCCGGAGAAGGTGAGATGAGAACATGCCCGAGAAGGTGAGATGAGAGCATGCCCGAGAAGGTGAGATGAGAACATGCCCGAGAAGGTGAGATGAGAACATGCCCGAGAAGGTGAGATGAGAACATGCCCGAGAAGGTGAGATGAGAACATGCCCGAGAAAGTGAGATGAGAACATGCCCGAGAAGGTGAGATGAGAACATGCCCGAGAAGGTGAGATGAGAACATGCCCGAGAAGGTGAGATGAGAACATGCCCGAGATGGTGAGATGAGAACATGCCCAAGAAGGTGAGATGAGAACATGCCCGAGAAGGTGAGATGAGAACATGCCCGAGAAGGTGAGATGAGAGCATGCCCGAGAAGGTGAGATGAGAACATGCCCGAGAAGGTGAGATGAGAACATGCCCGAGAAGGTGAGATGAGAACATGCCCGAGAAGGTGAGATGAGAACATGCCCGAGAAAGTGAGATGAGAACATGCCCGAGAAGGTGAGATGAGAACATGCCCGAGAAGGTGAGATGAGAACATGCCCGAGAAGGTGAGATGAGAGCATGCCGGAGAAGGTGAGATGAGAACATGCCCGAGAAGGTGAGATGAGAGCATGCCCGAGAAGGTGAGATGAGAACATGCCCGAGAAGGTGAGATGAGAACATGCCCGAGAAGGTGAGATGAGAACATGCCCGAGAAGGTGAGATGAGAACATGCCCGAGAAAGTGAGATGAGAACATGCCCGAGAAGGTGAGATGAGAACATGCCCGAGAAGGTGAGATGAGAACATGCCCGAGAAGGTGAGATGAGAACATGCCCGAGAAGGTGAGATGAGAACATGCCCAAGAAGGTGAGATGAGTACATGTCCGAGAAGGTGAGATGAGAACATGCCCGAGAAGGTGAGATGAGAACATGCCCGAGAAGGTGAGATGAGAACATGCCAGAGAAGGTGAGATGAGAACATGCCCGAGAAGGTGAGACGAGAACATGCCCGAGAAGGTGAGCGGCTGATGGCATGCCCGAGAAGGTGAGCGGCTGATGGCATGCCCGAGATGGTGAGCGGCTGATGGCATGCCCGAGAAGGTGAGATGAGAACATGCCCAAGAAGGTGAGATGAGAATATGCTCGAGAAGGCGAGATGAGAACATGCCCAAGAAGGTGAGATGAGAACATGCCCGAGAAGGTGAGATGAGAACATGCCTGAGAAGGTGAGATGAGAACATGCCCGAGAAGGTGAGATGAGAACATGCCCGAGAAGGTGAGCGGCTGATGGCATGCCCGAGATGGTGAGATGAGAACATGCTCGAGAAGGCGAGATGAGAACATGCCCAAGAAGGTGAGATGAGAACATGCCCGAGAAGGTGAGATGAGAACATGCCCGAGAAGGCGAGATGAGAACATGCCCGAGAAGGTGAGCGGCTGATGGCATGCCCGAGTTGGTGAGCGGCTGATGGCATGCCCGAGATGGTGAGCGCATGATTGAGACAGTGAGAGCATGTTTGAGAAGGTGAGAGCACGTGTGAGAGCATGTGTGAGAGCATGTGTGAGAGCATGTGTGAGAGCATGTGTGAGAGCATGTGTGAGAGTGTGACAGAGCAAGCGACTGCCATAGTTGTGCCAAGCTTCATCGTTGCATGTTCACCGCCACCCACCTCGCCTTTCTTGTTTCTGCTGCTCTTCCCCCCCCTCGCTCTTGGTGCGTCCATGTGCCCCCCCCTGGTCAGAGTGTGCGCACGTTCAAGGACGTGAGGGGGTGTGACGAGGCGAAGGCGGAGCTGGAGGAGATCGTGGAGTATCTGCGCGCCCCCGACCGCTTCACCCGCCTCGGTGGCAAGCTGCCTAAGGTGAGAGGGGAAGGGGAGCACTCAGCTGAAGGTGCGAGTGAGGGGGGCACGCTGCTGAAGGTGCGAGATAGGGGGGCACGCTGCTGAAGGTGCGAGATAGGGGGGCACGCTGCTGAAGGTGCGAAATAGGTGGGCACGCTGCTGAAGGTGCGAAATAGGGGGGCACGCTGCTGAAGGTGCGAGATAGGGGGGCACGCTGCTGAAGGTGCGAAATAGGGGGGCACGCTGCTGAAGGTGCGAGATAGGGGGGCACGCTGCTGAAGGTGCGAATAGGGGGGCACGCTGCTGAAGGTGCAAGATAGGGGGGCACGCTGCTGAAGGTGCCTGTAGGAGTGAGTGGGAGAGGAGGGAAGGAGGGGGGGTGGGGTATTGAGGTGGATGGAACGTCGTATGGGGTGGGGTTATGGGGGGATCATTGTGGAGCCTAGCCCGCTGTGCTGCATCCGCCACCACCCGTGCTCCTCCCACCCCTCGTCTCCAACATGCGTGGCCTATGTGCTCGGCACTTGCCTGAGCGCCTCTCACTCCTTTCCTCCGTGATTCTGCCCTGTGCCTCATGGGTGCAGGGGGTGCTGCTGATCGGCCCACCAGGCACGGGCAAGACGCTGCTCGCCAAGGTGCCCCCCTCTGCTGCCCCCTCCTTTCCTCTGCGCTTTTTGCTTGCATCACTCTCCCCTCCCCTCCCCTCCCCTCCCCTCCCCTCTTCTCCCCTCCCCTCCCCTCTTCTCCCCTCCCCCCACCTCCGCTCCTCTCCGCTCCCTTCCATCCGCCTCGTCTCCATCCACTCGCCGCTGCTCTGTCTATCTGAGGCGCCTCATTCCCTCACACCACTGTCACCCGCCTCCTCTGCTCACCCTCGTCCCCCCCGCCCCCTCCCACTCCGTGCTCGCATGGGCGCGGCGGTGTGGGCGGGCGGCGGCAGGCCATAGCGGGCGAGGCGGGGGTGCCCTTCTTCTACCGCGCCGGCTCCGAGTTCGAAGAGATGTGCGCCCTGGGAAGGGAACGGGGGACACACACACACGGGGTCAACGGGCGGCCGGGGACACAGAGGGTCAATGGGGGGCAGGGGGCACAGGGCTGCTTCCTTGTACTGCTTATGCATGCGCCATGTTGCTCATCAACCATGTTGCTCATCCACCATGTTGCTCATCCACCATGTTGCTCATCCACCATGTTGCTCATCCACCATGTTGCTCATCCGCCATGTTGCTCATCCACCATGTTGCTCATCGGCCATGTTGCTCATCCACCATGTTGCTCACCCACCATGTTGCTCATCCACCATGTTGCTCATCCACCATGTTGCTCACCCACCATGTTGCTCATCCACCATGTTGCTCATCCACCATGTTGCTCACCCACCATGTTGCTCATCCACCATGTTGCTCAAGCTCATCTGCCATGTTGCTCATCCACCATGTTGCTCATCCGCCATCTTGCTCATCCACCATGTTGCTCATCCACCATGTTGCTCATCCACCATGTTGCTCATCCACCATGTTGCTCATCCACCATGTTGCTCATCCACCATGTTGCTCACCCACCATGTTGCTCATCCACCATGTTGCTCAAGCTTATCCGCCATGTTGCTCATCCACCATGTTGCTCATCCGCCATCTTGCTCATCCACCATGTTGCTCATCCACCATGTTGCTCATCCACCATGTTGCTCATCCACCATGTTGCTCATCCACCATGTTGCTCACCCACCATGTTGCTCATCCACCATGTTGCTCATCCACCATGTTGCTCATCCACCATGTTGCTCATCCACCATGTTGCTCCTCCACCATGTTGCTCAAGCTCATCCGCCATGTTGCTCATCCACCATGTTGCTCATCCGCCATCTTGCTCATCCACCATGTTGCTCATCCACCATGTTGCTCATCCACCATGTTGCTCAAGCTCATCCGCCATGTTGCTCATCCACCATGTTGCTCATCCGCCATGTTGCTCATCCACCATGTTGCTCATCCACCATGTTGCTCATCCGCCATGTTGCTCATCCGCCGTCTTGCTCATCCACCATGTTGCTCATCCGCCATGTTGCTCATCCGCCATGTTGCTCATCCACCATGTTGCTCATCCACATCCGCCATGTTGCTCATCCGCTATGTTGCTCATCCACCATGTTGCTCATCCACCATGTTGCTCATCCGCCATGTTGCTCATCCGCCGTCTTCCTCATCCACCATGTTGCTCATCCACCATGTTGCTCATCCACCATGTTGCTCATCCACCATGTTGCTCATCCACCATGTTGCTCATCCACCATGTTGCTCATCCACCATGTTGCTCATCCGCCATGTTGCTCATCCGCCATGTTGCTCATCCGCCATGTCGCCATGTTGCTCATCCGCCATGTCGCCATGTTGCTCATCCACCATGTTGCTCATCCACCATGTTGCTCATCCACCATGTTGCTCATCCGCCATGTTGCTCATCCACCATGTTGCTCATCCACCATGTTGCTCATTCACCATGTTGCTCATCCGCCATGTTGCTCATCCACCATGTTGCTCATCCACCATGTTGCTCATCCGCCATGTTGCTCATCCACCATGTTGCTCAAGCTCATCCGCCATGTTGCTCATCCACCATGTTGCTCATCCACCATGTTGCTCATCCGCCATGCTGCTCATCCGCCGTCCACCATTCCATGTCTGCACTCTTCCGTGCCACCACTGCACCATCCAACTGCCACAAATTTTGTGTCATGCTGCATCGCATCCTCTGGCTGCCCATGGCTGGGCCTGGCAGGTTTGTGGGAGTGGGGGCGCGGAGGGTGCGCACGCTGTTTCAAGCGGCGAAGAAGAAGGTGAGTGAGCACCGTGCCGCACGAAAGATGCCCATTGGTCAGCCAGTGCTAGCTGTACGCCCCCTGGCGGACAGGGGAGTGGAATGAGAGCACCCACGCTGCTTAGGTCGCCCTTTTAGAGTTTTGTCCGTGATTTACTTCATATGGTATCTGCCAGGCTTGATTCAGAGAATTCCTGAACCACTGTCATGACATGTGATTGCTTTGGGTTGCGAGGCAGAGCACATGGCATATATGCTGTTTGCTCACGCGCTTGTGCTCCTTCCCATGTGGCCCACATGCACTGTGCGGGTGGCAGGCGCCGTGCATCGTGTTCATAGATGAGATTGACGCGGTGGGGGGCAGTCGCAAGCAGTGGGAGGGGCACAGCAAGAAGACGCTCAACCAGCTGCTCGTCGAGATGGACGGCTTCGAACCCAACGAGGTCAACCCCCCGCCCCCAACGCCCCCACCACTACCACTGCCACCGCCACTGCCACTGCCACTGCCACCACTGCTGCTCCCACACTCACCACCATATTCCTGTCTTCCACTTCCCCTATGCTCGCCATTTCCCCGCACTTCCCTTCACGCCGTGAAGGTCTTTGAAGCCCAATTTCTACCTCTCTTCCCCCTGTCTATGCACCCCCTGTGCGTGGTGCGGGGTGCATGCTATGGAATGGCTTGGCATGGCATGGCATTGCATGGCACGGCATGGGAACGGCATTGCATGGCACTGCACGGTATGGGCACGGTATGGGCATGGCATGGCACGGCACGCGCACGGCATGGTGTGGCATGGCACGGCATGGCACGGCATGGCACGGCATGGCATGGCATGGCATGGCATGGCATGGCACGGCATGGCATGGCATGGGCATGGCACGGCATGGGCATGGCATGGCATGGCGTGGCAGGGCATCATAGTGATGGCGGCCACCAACGTACCGGACATGCTCGACCCCGCCCTCACCCGCCCCGGCCGCTTCGACCGCCACGTGAGCCCGCGTGGGGGGGAGGAGAGGGGGCAGAGGCCCGGGAGGAGCATGTGGGCGTGGGATGAGCACTACGTGTGGGAGCAAACTGGCACCCCCCTTGCACTCTTTCCTCTCACTCCTCTTCATCACTCTTCCTGTGTTACCACTTGTGCTGTGCATGCAAGTTCTTAAGCTGTCCCTGCATTGGTCTCTATTTGTGCGCTTGTGGATGCGTGTGAGTGGTTGTGTGCACGTGTGACTGTGTGTGAGTGCTTGTGTGCACGTGTGACTGTGTGTGAGAGCTTGTGTGCACGTGTGACTGTGTGTGAGAGCTTGTGTGCACGTGTGACTGCGTGTGAGAGCTTGTGTGCCCGTGTGACTGTGTGTGAGAGCTTGTGTGCACGTGTGACTGTGTGGGAGAGCTTGTGTGCACGTGTGACTGTGTGTGAATGCGCGTGTGCACGTGTGACTGTGTGTGAGAGCTTGTGTGCACATGTGACTGTGTGTGAGTGCGTGTGCACGTGTGACTGTGTGTGAGTGCGCGTGTGCACGTGTGAGTGTGTGTGAGCGCCGGTGCGGCCCATGAGCAGGTGGTGGTGCAGGCACCGGACGTGAGGGGGAGGAGGGAGATCCTGGAGCTGTATTTGGAGGGCAAGCCGCTGCACGCTGATGTTGATGTCGCCATGCTCGCCAAGGGCACTCCCGGCTTCAGCGGGGCAGGTGGGCCGTGGGGCGGGTGGGCCGTGGGGCAGGTGGGCTGTGGAGAAGGTGGGGTGCTGGGCAGGTGGGGAGCTGGGCTGTAGGGTCGTAGGGGGCTGAAGGTGGCGGGGTGGGTGCAGCATGGGCCAGAGTGGCTGGTGGACAAGGAAGGAAGCACGAAGAGGGGGCTTGGCCGGGCAGAAGCAGCAGGTGGGTGCAGGTGAGCACAGCAGCTACCCACGACCCCTGCTCAGCACAATACTAGGCCCCCTCCCTTTCCCGCTCGCCTCTGTCCTTCCTGCCCTCCCCCCGTCTGCCCCGTCCCGTGTGCTGGGCATCAGACCTGGCGAATCTGGTGAACATGGCGGCGGTGAAGGCGGCGCTGGACGGCGTGGCGGCGGTGGGCCGCGACCAGCTCGAGTTCGCCAAAGACAAGATCCTCATGGGGGCTGAGCGCCGCTCCCTCGTGCTCTCCCAGGCCTGCCGTAAGGTGCGTGTGCAAGCCTAGGGGATGGGAGCCTGGTGGGTGGTGCTGCCATGAGAGTGCGGTGAGCTGGATGCCACTGCCAGGTACTTGTGTGTGCTCCCCTGCACCACCGTCCCAATCACCCTCCGTTTCCCCCCCAACTCTCCCCCCCTCTCCCCCCCTTGTGGGATACAGAACACGGCATACCACGAGAGTGGGCATGCGCTGGTGGCGCTGCACACGGCGCACGCGCTGCCCATCCACAAGGCCACCATCATGCCAAGGGGGGCGGCGCTGGGCATGGTCACGCAGATGCCAGATGACGACTTTGAGACGAGCCGCACGCGTGCGCAGATGCTGGCGCGGCTGGACGTGTGCATGGGGGGGCGCGTGGCGGAGGAGGTGGTGTTCGGCGCGCAGCACGTCACCAGCGGGGCGCGGGACGACCTGAGGCAGGCCACGCGGCTGGCGCGGCAGATGGTGCGCGAGTGCGGCATGAGCGACAAGCTGGGGCCCGTCTTCATTGACAGCGACGGCGCAGGGGAGGGGCGCGTGAGCGGCGAGTTGCTGCGCGTGGCAGATGCTGAGGTGGCACGGCTGCTCAGAGAGGCGTACGCACGCGTCACCACCCTCCTCAAGCAGGTGAGCGTTGCCTTCCTCCTTGAAACTATGCGCCCTGCCCTCTGGATATAAACACTGTGCGTTCTCCATGCCGCTGCATGCCTTACGTTTTCCCCCTCACTGCCCCCTCTCCCCCCGGTCAACTCTCACATGCCCTTGTGTGTGGGCATGAGGCAGCACGAGCAGCAGCTGCATGTGCTGGCAGCAGCGCTGTTGGAGCGCGAGACAATGACAGCAGAGGACATCAAGAAGCTCCTCGCCTCCCCTGCCACTACCCTCTCCCCTGCCGCCGCTGCTACTAATGCCGATGATCTTTCCAGGCCACTCACCCCAGCAGACCTCCAAGCACTCCCAGCAGCACCTGCTGCTTTCACCGCTGCCTCACCTCCCTCTCACGACTCTGCTGCAACCCTGCCTGACTTGGCCTCCCCTGCTGCATGCTGACCTTGATGGATGATTATCAACCGTGTTCCACCAGCTCCATAGAAAATAGAGTATAGAATAAGCAGAGGTAGAAGCTTATTGCCATCTTTTTTCTCTCGGTTTGCTTTCATAGTTAATCCTGTCAAACTATGTTTGTAGAAATATATATGTTGTAGTGAGTTGCATGTTAGGGGATACAAGAACACTTGGCTTGTATCCAGGGCTCTGGTTTTCAGACAACATCCGTCTGAGGCCATGTTCCTATGGCCCCTTATCAGGCCAACCTCTTATCAAGCTCGCTACTTTTACCACTATTTTCCTAAACCCAAAAACCCTCGCTACTTTTACCAGGCAAGGCTGACAAGAGGTTTGCCTGATACGAGCGTAGGAACATGCCCTGATTGTCTGAAAATCGGGCGTGTTTTGCTAAATTCGTATGCTTTCTCAGACATCTAGGATAGGGTCGTATGAATGTTAAGACATGCCTATATTGTTCATCTATATAATCAGACTTGGGGCTTATGTCAAACCAGTGCCCTAGATATCAGACTTTTTACGCTGATTCAGCGTCCATTCAGACTTTTTTTTGGTCCCTGGTCTGAACTGTAAAAAAAAATTTTATGTACCTACTCTGTTTATTCAGAGTTTTTTTAATTGTAGTGGCTGAAATTTCAGATAGATTTTAGGGGTGTAGGCTGAGCCTCAGCCTTGTTTCGGAGGTGCACTCTGAAACGGGTACTGCAGTGGTCCGCCAGCCTGGCGGCGTGTTGCACTAACACCATCAATCACGGGCGGGAAACGAAACATTTCCCGAGCACGGCACCGCACCGCACAGTCGCGTTAGGCCTGGAATGCTGTAATCTGGCTCAAACCCAGCCAATCGTGGCATCGCAGCAGTCAGTGTTGGCAAGATTCCTTGCCAACACATACCTCGCAGCGCGCTGCACCCGGACAACACCACAACCGTCCACCCTCCTCCACCGTCCACCTTGCCAACACATAGCTCGCACCGCGCTGCAACTCTCACGTCACCACATCCATCCACCCCACTCACCCCACCTTCCCTGCACACACGACCAGGTGCAGTGTATGCAGTGACCAGCCGGGGGATGAGCGGTCCAAATACGAGGACCACTCATGTTCCTCATCGTCGCCCTTCGTGGGGGTCACTCGGTGCCCTGTCTCTCTCGCTTCATTCCATTTCCTCGCCAGAAGCTAGTGCTCGAACCCTTGTTTCAAACCCTCTCTCCTCGCCCTCACGCAGCCAGTGCTCGGCAGACTCAATGGCTGCCACAGACGCTGGCGCCGAATCGGCCGATGATGACGACGAGGCCAATCGTGGGCCTGATTCAGTCGCTTTGACCGGCCTCGACTTTCTTAGATCTTGCTTACCGAATCATGTCCCACCTAGCTCCACCTTCGGAACCTAGCTCCATCCGTCCTCCGGTTTCCGTGCAACCTGAACCCTTGCCCACCGCCGCCACCAAACCAGTCATAGCTGCGACACAGTCTGTGCCCCATGAGGCGTCCGCAGAAGCACCGTCCCGTCCCGCGCCACCGACGAAGCTGCGGTACCGACAGACCACGTTTCCGCGGGCAAATCCTCCTCCTCCAACGACCGTTGAAGCTCCAGCGAGAGTTGAATCTCCCATGCAGGGCAGCTCAAAACCCACCGACAGGTCCGACTCCGGAAAGTTGGAGTTGAAATACGAAGAAGCTCACTTTCGTTTAAAACAAAGTGGTCTACCGATTACGAGTGGCTGATACTAACAAAAACCTCTTCCGGTGCCCCTAGTTTTGTGTGCAGCATATGCCTGGAGTTTGCAGGACTTACAGGCAAGTGTGGACGGGGTGGTGAGGGCGCGACCGATGTGCAGACTCAAGCCTTCAAGAAGCACGAAGGGACGGTGAAGCATCGTTTCGCGCTGAAGCGGCAGGAGGACCTCCTCCAGAAGTATGGCGATCAGCGGCGCATCGGCCTACACCCGAAAGCGCAGGACAAGGAGATGGTGCAGATGTCGGCGCTAGTGGAGTCCTTGTACTTCATGAGCTCGTGCAACGAGCCCATGGACGCTTGGATTCGGCTTGTGCGCTATCTGGCAAAGAAGAAGGTGCCCGGGTTTCCAGAGCAGGGTTACCGCATGTATTACAACACGTAAGTTGTATACCAATTCCCAATCGAGTCCTTAGTTTCGTCTATTTTACATTCTCTAACTGCCTCTGTTTTTTTTTTTTTTTTCTGAACACGTACGGCTTCGGGGAGTTAACACAGGCAATTGCAACATGGCTCCAAACAACACAACTGGATCACCTTCTAACGAGCCACTTCATCGGCATCACCCTCGACGAGAGCACAGATCGACGGCGCGGCAAACACATGATAATGTTTGCAACCTTCCTGCGCGACGGTCAAGTTGTGACGGAGTTTTTGGCTCACCTCATGGTTGAAAGAGCTGATGCTGCATCCCTCTGTAGTCTGCTGCTTTCCCACATCAGGGCTGTTGGCGTGGACCTCTACCGTATTTCGGGAGTGAGCACGGACGGCGCGATGGTGATGGTGGGGGCCCACAACGGTGTGGTTGCGCGAAGTGACGAATTATCTCGGGGCGGGCCATCACGACGCGTGTGTGGCACTCTGCACCGACTTCGCCGAGGGCCTCGTCGAAGAGCTTTAGTCTAAGCTAGGCGACCTCGACTCTCTTTCGTGGGTGCGGCTTTTCATTCCTGACGAGTGGCCTCCGAATTGGGAGAGGAGCACACGGCAGGCACAGTGCCTTGAGTGGCTGTTGTCGCTAGTCACTCTGTTCCGCGCCGACCACTGTGACAAGATTCTGCCAGGTCTGTTCGTATATTGATTGCTCTCTTGACTGTTGTCCCGTCCTGTACTAATCCCACTCCTTGTCCAATGTTGCAGGCATTGACAAGAAGCGAGCAGTGAAGGAGCTGCGGACTCTGTGCCCAGTCTTGGCCAGAGCTCCAAAGAGCGAGCGCAAGTTCAACACGGGACTGACTGCAATCCTCAAGACACCAGACTGGCAGCAAGCATACCCCAACCTCGTCAGGCTCTGGGTGGCAGTTGCAGTGCTGCCTCTCAGCACCGTCGAGTGCGAGAGAGGATTCTCGCGACAGAATCTCATCAAGACGTGGCAGAGGGGTAGTTTAAAAGACTGTAGGCTCAGTGACTTGCTCTGTATGTCTATGCTAGACTATGAGCTGGACGTGCCTGGGGTTGTTGAGATTTGGCGCAGCTATAAGAAGCGCCGGCCAGTGACAGCACCTGCTGCAAGACACAGGGAGGAGCCCCAGAGAGCTGGGAAAGAGGCTGTAGAGGAGCCAGTAGTGCAGCGGGCAGTTTTAGAGTCACGTGTGACAGAATCTGAGTCAGATAGTTAGAAATGTTTTTCTCGTGCAGTATAAAGGAAGCAGCCTTCAATATTAGTGTAACACTGAACTTTCAGCCAAAAAAAAACCGCAGCAGACTAAATTTCTAGCCTAAAATTTGGACGCAACTCTGACTGACAGCGTATAAAGAAGGGTACACCCTGAGCCATCAGCGTGTCCCGAAACGAATCTAGGGCCCTGTGTCAAACTATAATGCTGCTTATGTTGTGTAGGCTATATTGGGGTAGCCTATATGGAGTACAACCCAATTAGGGTTAGTACTTGTACCACATTTCTGATCAATGCATTCATTCCTGCACAGTTATTCTGACATGGTATTCAGAGCAGGAAACCTGTTGAGTTTTTAGGGCCCATTGATTGTCTTGCTAATTTCATGCCCGAAGCGCCCTTGCGCTATCCAGCCCTCTCGCATAGTGTCACGCTGCCCTGCAGCTACTCGCCTGCCTGCCCTAGCACGCTGCCCTACTGTCACATACGCCCCTGCTGCCCGAGAGCAGCCCCTGCCCCGCGTGCCCCTGCTGCTTGCGAGCAGCCCCTGCCCCGCACGCCACTGCTGCCTGTGAGCAGCCCCTGCCCCGAGCGCCCCTGCTGCATGTGAGTAGCCCCTTTCCCGTGCGCCAGTGCTGCCTGTGAGCAGCCCCTGCCCCGAGCGCCCCTGCTGCCTGCGAGCAGCCCCTTCTGCCCGCGAGCAGCTCCTGCCCCAGCGCGCCCCGTCTGCAGGGTTGCGTCTGCACGGTTTCACGCCCTACTCCCCTGGGCGTCGCGCCCTGCTGCAGCCCTCGCGTTGCGCCCTGCTGCAGCTCGCGTGTCGTGCTCTACTGCTCCGCGCGTCGCGCCCTACTGCAGCTCGCACGTCGCGCCCTACTGCTCTGCGCGTCACGCCTTGCTGCAGCCCGCACGTCGCGCTCTGCTGCCCCGCGCGTCGCGCCCATGCTGCAGCCCGCGCGTCGCGCCCTGCTGCCCGCACTGCTCAGGCCGAGCCGTGCCGCCCAGCCCGAGCCGCCCTGCCCAACCCGATCCGCCCTGGTGCTCGTGCTACCGCTACTGCTGTTGGAGCTGTTGGTGCTCGTGCTACTGGTACTGGAGCTGCCGGAGCTGGTGGTGGTGCTGCTGCTGGAGGTCCCGGAGGTGCTTGTACTGGATGTACTGGAGCTGCTGGTGCTGGAGGTGCTGTAGGTGCTGGAGGTGCTGTGGGTGCTGGAGGTGCTGGAGCTGCTGAGGTGCTGGAGCTGCTGGTCTCGGAGGTGCTCGTACTGGAAGTACTGGAGCTACTAGTGCTGGAGGTGCTGGAGGTGCTGGAAGGTGGTGGTGGTGCTAGAGGTGCTAGAGCTGGAGGCACTGAAGTTGGAGTCGCTGGAGCTGGAGGCGCTCGAGCTGGAGGCCCTGGCGCTGGAAGTGCTGGCGCTGGGGGCGCTAGAGCTGGCCGTATTGGTGCTGGAGGCACTATGCCGCGGTGCCTGTTTTTCGCTCCACCGTTGCCGTCGTCTCTGTCGCTACCTGGCTCGGTGCTTCGCCAGGTTCTTAGTCTCCCATATTCTACTAGGCCTTACTCCTCCCTTTCTTTGTCCACCGCCTGACCAATCGTAGCCACAGTTACATCCAGCCTCCCCACTACCTCC